CAATTACTTAAAATTTAAGAACCATTGGCCCATAGTTATATATACCTTAACCTAATAATATATAAAAATATAAACATAACACTATTTAGGGAACTTTCTTCTTTGACGCGTCCCTATATCGGCGAAACACTACCCCAGAGGGCCATAAATCGGGAGCGAGGAATGTCTTTTTGTATTTTGTAGGAACCTGGAGTACATAGGATTTAAATTTCGTTGACCTACTAGACTTCAGACGCCGCAAATGTAAAGAGATCGGAAACTCTATGCGGAATCGGCTTCGTTCTTCCACGAAACCACGGAACGCAGGACGCCTTCTCCCGACGTATTTTTATTTATAGAAGCGGGGGCAAATGAGCATACGGTTCACCTGATGTTAAGTGACTACAGCCCCCCCCCATGAACATCCGCAATACCAGAGGAATTGCAGGTGCGTTGCCGGCCCTTTAGAAAGGAGTAAGCTCTTTTTTTGAAGGTCCAAAGGTCGTATCAGTCCGAAAAAATCGCCGGTGGTAAACTATTCCACAGAGAGGTCGTACGCGGAAGAAAACTACGCCTATACACTCCTGGGCACAGGCTTCCGCTCATTTCTGAGAGGGTTTTAGGCATAGAGAATATAACCACGTTTTAGGGCAAGGATTTGTCCGCCGCGTTGCCCCAAAGCGTGCTGGCGAACTTCACATGCCCTCGAAAAAAAATTTACTGCTCTTATTTCTGATACATGCAGGTTTCCTCACGATGTTTTCCTCCACCGCTGAGCACGTGGTAAACCGGCACTGGTGCCGGCGGAGATCGAACCCGGTTTGCTCGCGTATTATGAAACTTACCTACAGCGAGCTCTAACCATTTGAGCAACCACGGCGCAATAAATAATAAATACTTAATTAACTTTACTTTTTCCTGCATACGCAGAGCAACTATGAGTAGGTAGTAAATTTATTCTTTAGCGGTGAATGCATTCAAGGCAGGCGGGGAAGCAATATAAGTTATCTTACAATTAATCAACACAATCGTTAAAATTCTTCATTATCTGTGTTTATAAGGTGTCGCATTTAACCGTAATGAGCAATGAGCATAGGCTTAGAATATATACTTTACTATCCTAAGTTTATTTTAATGAGCAACCAGCCTAAACAAAGACTAAAAGAAATGCGGTGACGCCGAAGCGCATATTATTGTATATTACTGTGTTATTACATAAAATTGCTTTAAAATAACATACTTTTATATTCTGAATCTTATGTTTGTCTGAGACTTATAATATGTCTCATTCTTACTTAGGTCTTAAACCAAAAAAATAATGTGTTTAACTAGGTATATCACTTGCTTAGTGTCTCGTATAAAGCGGCTAATGGGACAATATATTATGTACAATATATTATGTACCAAACATACTGACTGTAAATATATAGTACGAACCCTCATTTGGGGGCAATTTTAGTATTAACTGATGATTTTATTTGAATTGTCTTTAATTTATTCTATCGTTATAATTATATTTTTATTTTGTTTTTAACATTTAATGATATTTGAAATGGGTGTAAAAAAAATGAAATAAATGACTATTATTATTATTATTATTAGACTTGTGACGGTGTAAGCCCATACCATCTGATTAAAAGTGGTCCTATTACCTGTGCTGTTTGGCCTCTCCCTCGGGAATTACAGGCGCTATGTGTGTAAGTATGTTTTTATATTCAATTTTATAATTGTTAACGTTGAAGCATATCACAAGCCCGCCGCCTAACATACGCCTCACCGCAGGTTGCCTCATGTGGGACATCTCGTATTCATCATGATTGCTGCGCATCGCAGGCAGGTTGGCAATCGCAGTTTTTTATTTTTTAGCTGTTATTATTGTTTTTAACAAAAATTGAATAATATTTTCCAAATCACAGTCTACTGAATTCTTAAACAGTTTGTTGTCAAAAAGCGCTCTCTGTTTAAATTATCTATACTTAACTGTTGTATTTTGTTGGTTTCACTCCGTCGCCTGTTACAACACCCGCAGGGCTAGGTATATCGTAATTATTATTTACAAAAAAAATAACCTCATTGAATTGACCTAATTGAAATAAGATATATTTCAAAATATAAAAATTTAAAATGTTTTAGGACGCTCTTTTTTGCTTTGTTCTTTTTTTAAAATACTAACAATGCTATTCACTTTAGTAATATTCCCTTTAACCATTCCTGGTAAGCTAAAGATGCTTGCGTTGGAAATGGTTCACGACAGTAGTCGAATGGCGGATTCGAACCCACAATCTTTTGAGTTCGCAGTCCACACCCTGCCATTATTATCTATCTCTGGCGACAAGCAGCAGTATCTGCAGTACTGTGCTCCAGTCCAAAGAGTATAGGATGTATTCAACATCCTTATCGGACAGCGTAAAGTAATAATAAACCAATCTTTTAAAATATTTATTTTTTGTTTCAGTATAATACCCAGTCCAAGAATGTCTAAAATAACAAAAAATAATTAAAGAGATCTAGAGACTAATCAAAATGATCATGACGAAAATCAAAACGTGTCTTCCTCAATTGTATCGTCACAAAGAAAACGAAATTTACCTAAACCCGCGCATATGAACGTCTAAACCCATGAAACAAACTAACCCCAGGGAATGAAAGTCCAGAGCTTAGTAGCGAAACAAAGTTTTCTCTGGACTAATACGTAGACTTGTTAAAGAAAATTCTTTATTCGGAAGAAATTGCAGACATAAGCCGTTGAATATCCTTCATAATAGTTTAAGGTGAAATGGGCGCCAAAAGCAGATTTCACGCTTTATAGTGCACAGGAAATCAATTTTTTGTCATTAAAAACTACGAATTCACTGTTTTTTTATCATTATGAAAGTCAAAGATATTCCTTAGTAAATTATGATGGACAAAATACGAATGACACATTTTGGCTCGATACAAAAAGATCGCAAATTTCCTCAAAATAAAAGCAGTTCCATTCGAACGTAATTAAAGCCATTTCAATTAAATTCTGTCTATGTGTTTACCAGTAAATACATGCGTTTATTTACCCATACCCCATGTACATTATAGGTTTATTTTCTAATAAAAGATATTTCATTTAAAAAAGAAATATCAAATAAATATCATGTAATAAAATAGCGCGCGAACCGGCCAAACAGGAGCATATCGCCGCTCCTCACTCGTGACCACGATACTACTTTGCCTGAACTGATAGTTCTACTAAAGAATGTTTTTCTGCTGTGACGAAAGATATTACAAGCCGTCTTTCTGAATCGTCAAACACTTCATCCGAATCTTTCCGGTCGGTGCTACCTAAATTACGTTATTCTACGTGGTGGAGCCATGCTGCAGTTACATTATGCTTGTAGCACGTATTGATCGGCTACAACCAATCGGGGTAGGACCACGCTCTCACAGAATACCAACATTAAATAGCAGCTTAATGTTGTTGTGTTTCGTACGGTGAGTGCACAGAACCGGACACCGTTTTTACTGGAAACGAGGCATTCGATCTCAGTCCTCAGGGGTAACAACAGAATAATATCCATTTATCATCAGGTGGACTGTGTGCTCGCTTGTTACCCTTATTCTATAATAAAACATCACATGATAATAATAATCAGCTATCACCACCTATTTCTTCAAGAACAGAAAACAGTAATATTTTATCATTACCTATAAGTACTTCCTACACAAATAATTAAATCAAATGAAACAAATTATTATGTTTCACGGCTTCATTCTTTGCGATTTATTGTTAACGTATTGTAGTAGCACCTCCATGTACTAGGCTTGCACGGATTTTTAAAAGTATTTTTTTTGTATGGTATCCCTACTAATGCTGGTAACACTACCCTTGCCTAGCTCGGGTCGCGCGTTCACATTCGAGTCATTCTCATGTCATTCTGCAACTCCGTGCTCAAGGCTTCGCACGTCTCTCTAGTCTTATTGTACAAAAGTTTACAAATTTTCGGCAAAAAATGAGAAGAAAAAGTGAAAACGAAATCAAAAAAAATTTAAAACTGCAAAAACAGTTAAACAAAGTTACCAATACGGGAGAATCTTTGTTTGTTAAGGAATTAGGCGGTAAGTTTTATAATTTAGATTCAATACATCTCTGCTTACTACCGTCATTATTGATCTAAATAAAAAATATGAATTTCTGATGCGCGATACCGTATTTGGGATACCTCTGTCACGAAAAAAGTGATGATTACTGCTAATTTTGGGCTAATGCTATCACATTTTTATTAAAAACATTCTAATAAGTACTGTCTGCTGCAAATTCACCGCAGCATCCGTTGAACACGTGCCACGCTTTGTCATCAGCGTCATGCGTAGACTCCACTCCTTTTCTGGTTGATCGGGAGGTTCACCTACATATTCGCATATTGTCAAGAAATGGTTCCCCAAGAATCTGTTCTCTACCGCCGATTTTCTCAAATTCGCCGGAGCCAAGAAATGCACCACAGTCACCGCAACCGCAGGTTGACAAAAGACCGATTTCTCTTACACCTGGAACTAGAGCTGGCATTGAACCTTCACAGCCGATGGTGTTAGAGTAGCAAATTGACGAAGACATACTGGTGTTGCTTGGTGATGCACCTAAGATCGAGATCCCAATGGGTTCAGCAATCCATAAGGATATTGTAGCCAATCGGGGGCAAGACATACTTGCTAAATGGTTTGCAAAAGACGTGAAAGAAAGTATTTTCAACTTATACCCTCCAACTGTGACCTCTTGATTGCACCAGCTCTAAACTCTGGTTTAAAGCAGCCCCGACAGAGATCTCTATAAAACGAGACTCGTCACTTTTGTTCAAACAAATGGCAAACAAAAACTTTTAAAACCTTTAAACGACGCCTGTCGCATTCTTTGCGATAGTCATTTTATGGATACAGGAACACGTAGAGGTTTCGTAATTTCGTCTATTAATACTTATCCGCTCTACTTTCAGTAGCACTAGTAACACTGGCCATTTAAACTACCTAAACCAACATCGCAAGGTAGACAAAAAATGACAGCCGCAAATTTACAACACAAGGTGAGGGCAGCGGCCAACGCAGTGCCCGCGGGAAGCACCGCAGCAGGCAGCCAGCACTTCACGCTGCCCCCCGTCAATCAAGCGGACGATGTCTCGCCGGACATAGACGAGGTACCATTTTCGGGACGACTTCAGTACTTTACCTATAAATGGGCTGAAATAACTTCACTCAAAACTATTCTATCTTGGGTGAAGGGTGATCAAATATCATTTAAAAGTACGCCATATCGTACTAGTGATCCTAATGTTTAGCCAAAAATATCCCACGAAGCCCATAATTTTAACAAGTCAATTAAAACCCTTCTAGAAATTGGTGCAATATCCAACCGCACAAGGAAACGAATTCATATGCAGTGTATTTTTAATGCCAAAACCGAACGGAGAAAATAAATTTATATTGAATCTGAAATGCTTAAATAAGTTCGTAGAAACGCGACATTTTAAGAGGATTACCGAACAACATCAAAATTGATAACAAAAACGGTTATATAGCTACCATAGATTTGTAGCGGCGCTGTCGTCGCGCCACAAGCGAAATACACCGAAGCTTAAATCACGCTATCAACATTCCGAATCATAGATAGTATATATAGAACTTCTCCGAACTATCACAGGGAGTGTCGGCCGCTCCCCGGGCAGAACACCTTGCCCGGCGGGAGATCTCCCCTTTTCCTTTCTACGGCCACAGTGGTGACCATCCGACGTGATCTGAACACGCAACCAAACAACTTTCGGAAACTTCAAGCTTCATCATCGTCATAAAATACTCCACCCATTCGCTCTCGAGCAGATATCGTCTGCAGTCTTCATATCCTGCAAGCCATCTAGCTTCACAAGGTTCATCGCAGCACTGGAATAATAATGCTTCCTGTTCCTTCAAGCTACTCTCTGCGCCATACAGTGTTCGGCACGGCTCTGAGCCTTACTGCTCGCCTCTGCTTCACGGCACTCTCGCAGATTACTTGCCTTCTTCTCGACTCACCGCAGACTACAAGGCAATTTCCTGGCACTTGGACATTCGTCGGCAACGAGGCTGCACTATCGACCTCCGGTCTGAGCAGGGGGTGATGTAGCGGCGCTGTCGTCGCGCCACAAGCGAAATACACCGAAGCTTAAATCACGCTATCAACATTCCGAATCATAGATAGTATATATAGAACTTCTCCGAACTATCACATGGAGTGTCGGCCGCTCCCCGGGCAGAACACCTTGCCCGGCGGGAGATCTCCCCTTTTCCTTCACGGCCACAGATTTAAAAGACGCCTATTTACTTGTAACCATACTTAACCTTCATAAAAAATACCTTTGCTTTAAATATAATAATGCGTTTTTTGAATTCAGCTACCTACTGTTCGGTTTATGTTGTTACTAAATTAACGAAGCCAGTGATAGAATTTCTTATAATTAATAGAAAGATATCTGTGATATACCTTGATGATATATTTTGTATGTTCGCTTTTAGAATGCAAAAGGAATAGGTATTAGTCTTACAATAAACTTTATCCAAAGTTTGGGTTTCATAGTAAACAAAAAGAAAAGCTGCCTGGAATCATATACTCGATGTAAATTTTTAGTTTTATTTTCAGATTCCGAGAACATGGCGATAAAATTGTCGGATTCTAAAAAATTACAAATCAATGTGGGTATTTCTAAGTTCCTTAAACTACATAAATATAAACATCGTGAATTTGCTCGACTCTTAGGACTTCTAGTCTACATGCCATGCGGTTAAATATTCATGGCTATACAGTAAACGTTTTGAACAATTTAAATATCGGTGCTTACTCGACAACCCTAATTTTGAACAAATCGTAAAGTTTTCTAAAAGTCTTCAGACCGACATGCTTTGGTGGATAAACCATATTGATCATAGTTTACATCCACAAAACTGTGATAAGTATGATTTAGAAATATTTTCTGACGCATCATCTACAGGTTGGGATGCTTATGTAAGTAAGTAATGTAAGATGAAAAACTGTTTTGGCTACTGGAAAGACTATGAGAAATTCTTGCATATTAACGAATTAGTTACAGGCAGCTATTCTGGCTCTAAAGCGTTTCGCTATTAATTTAAATTCAATTAAAATATTATTTCGAATTGATAATGCAATGTCTTGTATTAATAGGATGGGTAGTATACAGTTAGGTCACTAAAATATTATTTTTAGACAAAATGGAAATGGTGTGAAATGCGTGCAATAACTATATTTCCTTATAGAAATACTAAAGACTACTACGAAGCAGATCAAATGTTTCGTAAGACTAAATGGAACTTCAGGCATTAACAAAAATTTGAACAGTAAATGTGAACTTCATGATAAGGCATTTAATAAATTAACTCTTTGCTACGGTTACCCAGATATAGATCTTTTTGCTAGCAGGCGCAATGCTAAAGTCCATAAATATATTCCTTGGAAAAATTAGCCTGATGCCTGGGCCACTGACGCTTTTACCGTTCCTTGCAAAAATATGTTATTCTACGCATTTCCACCCTTTTCACTAACAACAAAGGACATACAAAAAATTATTAATGAAAGAGTAGAAGGTTCCCAGTATTCCAAAAACTAATTTCTTTTAAGCCAATATATTTTAAACCAAATAAAGACTTGTTATTGTCTCCTTTCAGAATGCCCCACAACCTGCACCGCACCTTGGACTTGTAGCCACGAGGCTTTCAGGAAAACTTTATTTAGGAGACGTTTGTCCTCGAGATCAGTAGAAATTGTAGAGTCTTCTTTATCTGATTCTTTACATAAACAATATGATGAATGTATTAAAAATTGGATAAAATATTGTAAAATACATGGTAATAATTACTCTGCAATTTCTGTTCCTACAGTAATTCATTTTCTTTCCATTGTGTTTGACAAAGGTGCCAAATATGGCACTATTAACTCTTACAAATCTCCATTATCCTTGTTGCTATTTTTCTAATTTAATTCATGACGATAGACTTAAACGATTCATGAAAGGAGTTTATAGGTTAAGGCTCACTTGTCCCATCAAATATAATTTGACGTGGGACCCAACCATAGTTCAAAATAATTTAACTCAACAGTGGCCTAACTCCGATTTCGACTTGGATACTCTTTTCAAACCTGGCTTACAGAAAAACCTAAAAAATGTCTGGTCCAAATTCCAGAAGCGTAGGTCCGGAATAACTACCTACCGTATTAGGGCGGATCGGGAGTCCAAGTTCCAAAGCAAGTCTTATAAAAAGATAGACATTGAAAATGTAAATAAAAACTTAAAATACACACAATATCAATAAACCAAAGGTTTCACGTTTGAAACAGTGATTTGATAGCGCTAGACCGTCCGACCAAACGTTCGGTTTCTTTCTCATATTTTAAGCTAAAATTAGTTAAATGTAATATTAATTATAAAATACAATTTGGATTTATTTTCGATTTTTAATTATAATTTTTATTGAATTCTATAAGCTTAGCTTAATCTTAGCCCGATACAAGTATAAATTCGTAATCAATGTATATAATATATAAATATATAATTAGATAATATTATCTAATTTTGCATTTTTTATTTTTCAAAATTTAAATTCAATTTACTCAAAAACTATTATTTTGTATAATGCCAGTACCTACGGTTCTCTGGGTGCGATGTACAAAATCCTAACCCGGCGAGAACATAAAAAAAACTTCAGTGTTTACAAGCGACTCGCATTGGTTACAAAATAATACTCTTAGAACCTTTAAAAATAAATTCTCGACTCCTAGAAATTTCCGCATTCACTTGTCATAAAGTTAAAAAACAATAATATATGCATGGGGATATCTAGATGTGTTATTTGTACTTTTTATTAAAACTTAAATATTAAATAGTTTAATCAAAGTCATCAAAATACCGCAACTCTATTATTAGTCCAACGATCCGTCAAAATAACAAGGCACCATTTCGCGAAGCTACGCTACACCGTAATGGCGGCATACACGGCTACAGTTTCACAGGTGACTGTAATTACGCCGCTTTGAGAGCTGAGCCGGGAGTTGCGACTAAATACCACTTTGTGACTCATCTGAAGCTAAATTTCTATGCAACGCGTTAATTTTAGGGTGCTAGTGTCATATCCGGAGCAAGCTAGTTAGTTAACGTAATTCGATAAACGCTGACGTTAGCTACGCATGATTTTTTTAATGAATATTAACAATACTATAAACATTACTAATATTCCCCTTAACCACTCGTGGTAAGCTTAAATTGCTTGTGTTACTAGTGGTTCACGCCAGTAGTCGAATGTCGGATTCGAACCCACGACCTTTTTGAGTTCGCGGTCCGCGCCCTGCCATTAGGCTACTGTCGCTTAACTTTTTTGCTTATTAGGTTTAAAAATTATTCGGTCTAACTTATAAGTGTGATGTTTTTCCCTTACATTTCTACTTGAGTACATCGTAGAGGCGCATTTAGTACACAAATTGCACATGAATTCATCATTCGTAGGACAAACAATTATTGTTCCGTGTTGGATTCGAAGCCCCGGTCTGCAGCACCCGCAGCCAAACGCTGAGCCACTGCGTCAGCCGAACTAACAATTATATTAACCTTATTTTTTCTTAATGATAGAAAGTTTTGTCCACTCTAGTGCTGTTAAATGTTTTATGTATATAAGTATTATATCTACTTCTACTTTCTTATGCTGCGTCCGCACCGTCCGCACCCTTGGCAAACCTCAGCGTCACTATCACTAATTAACGTGTGGATAGAGTGTGTGGTTCCTGTATATACTTATTATACCTACTCTTTGGTGTGGCTTAGTTTGCATAAGTTTGTAAGCGCTTGTAGCCAATCCGATCGAGTGTCGGTTTTTTGTCAAAAATAAAAGCGAATTTGCCGCAATCGCTTCCGACGCGTCTACATGTTTGTGGACGTGGTCACTCAATCGCGTTTGTGCACTGTTAGGGGAAAAAACTACTTACCTAATTATAAGAAAATAATTTCATAATTACCTGGTATGGTTTTTATGAATTTTTAACCTCCAACATTTTCTTTGCCGTATTTTTCTTTTTTTTTTTACTTGTTTTCTTGTATTTATAATAAAAATATCTTAAGTCAAATGTTATATGACCGACACAACCAACACATCATCGATATCAGTCTTGTTTGCCTCTTCAGAATAAACTAACGCACTCGCAAGCCTGTGGATGGTGATTGGTGACGTTTGATTTCCAAAATCAAGCCAAACGTTTGTAGAGATTTCGAATTTGCGGCCAGTGTCAGGCGTGCGGACGCGGCAT